ATATATGCAAAACACACGTTTTATTTAAAAAATAAAAATGAAACTAATTCATATTAATCACAGAAAAATTATAATACAAATGAAAAACTAATAATTGAGTAATTCTAGAATAATTTAATAATTTTATATTAGTTTTTTTACGCACATTTACAAAAATATATTATTCGTTTATTTTGAACTCAGTTTATCACAGATCACTCAGAAATATCACATTGCTTATAAGGTAATCTAATAATTAATACTAATAATTAATAAGAATACATCATTTTTTATTTTATAATATTAAGAATGAATCAATGTAATATAATAATAATTTTGCATTAAATACAAAATATATTATAGTCTATATTTATATCAAAATTTAATTTTAACTCTGATTCTATTCTAAAATTATATCAATTTTAATTAATCATTTTAATCATTTTAATCATTTTAATTAAATTAATGATGAATCATATACATGCAATATGAACATTTTAGCGTAATAGTTTTAGATTCCAAATATATACCATGCATTGATAAAGAATATTATTATTTCGTGGAAAAAATTATCGTTTTAAAATCCTTCTTGGAATTATGAAAGAGAAAGAAAAAGAAAGTCACAGAGAGAAAGAATGAGTAAATGAGTAAGTGAATGTGCGTGAGTGCGTGTATATATGCAGTGTGTGCATGCGTGCGCGCGCAGTGAGTGAGTGAATGAACGAGTGAGTGAGAGTGTGTGCGTGCGTGTGTGTGTGCGCGCGCGTGTATGTGTGAGAGAGAGACAGAGAGAATTAGTATAATGCAATAAAATTTCGTAATAAGAAATCAAAATTATCTTTCCACTGAGTGTAAAAGCAGTAAGTTATCGGGTGCTCCACATAATTAAGTTAACAACGAATATAATACTGGTCGCAGTTTCTCGATTGATCATTAACACTAAAGAAGGAAAGAAATAGGGAGAGAGAGTGAAACAAAGATAGAAATACAGAAACAGAGTCAGAGACTTGATATCGCGTATTTATAATTAAATTAAAAAAAAATATTACGTTGTCGGATCTCTAATCGAGCGTCAGATATTACTGCTATTTACCTTTCTTCTTTGCTTGGGACAAACAAAAGACTATTTGTATCGCATGGCGGGATACTTAAAAAGCTCTAGAACGCTTGTACTCGCACATTGAATATTAATAATTTTTCTATCGAATTAAATTGTAAAAAAAAATTTCCTTTCATCGTTAAAAATATTATTTTCATCTATATTTCATAATTATCATCTGCCTTAATTATCAAAAAATTAACTATAATGAATGAATACTTTTTAACTATACAGTGAACAATTTAATCATCTCTACATAAATAATTACATCTGCATACTACATTATTTGAATTTAATAGAAGCATTAGTATATTAAAAATAAAAATATTGAAGTTCATTTAATTCAATACTTTATGAAATATAAAATAAATATAAAATAATATTTTAACATTGAATTGACTTTTTAATCAACTTAGTTAAACTTTTAATTTAATTTAACAAATTTAACGAATTTTTTATAAATTTTATAATATAGATTTATAAATTTAACAAAAATAAAATTTAATTTATTTTATAAAAAAATTTGCATAAAATTTTCAGAATTTCTGAAAAGTATTTTTCATTATCTTAAATAATATAATAAAAGAAATTATATTCGAGCAAAATAGATTTTAACTTCACTAATTCTTTTCTAAACATTAACTATTTCAAAAAAAAAAAAATAAATAAATAATAAAATCTAATCCAGATTATAATAAATACCAAGAATATTTTAGAATAAAAAATCCAAAAAAGTCTTTAAATAAAGAAATATCCAATTACTTACCTTAGCCATAGTGATGGTATTTATGGCGGCATTGAAATGAACGAAGACGAACAGAAGAATGGCAACGCGTATCATCGGAATCATCATCATCATATCCTCAGTTGGTGGTACGTCCTCGAGGGTCGAAGGACCAAAGCCACTAGTCTGATACGTAAGTAACACGCACGTCACATACATTCACTGTTCCTAGCACATGGTATCTTCTTTTTCATGATCTTTTTTTTTTTCTCTTCTTTTTTCTACTTGCGTTTTTTTTCTTCGAAGTGTTTTCACAATCTTGTTAGACTTTTTTATCACTTTCGTTTTTCGTAATTATATAGATCTTTGATTTTCTTTTAAAGAATGACAATGAGGGTAAATTGCATGCAAACACTTCCACAAAAGAACGCAAATATATGTCCAGCCGTGGCAACTGCCGTCGAGCAACTGGCACTTGCTCGTTTGCTGGAGCAGCCTGTCTCGGTAACTGATGGCAGACTCTCTGTTGCAGTTCTGTATGTTACGCTCCTCTTCATCACTATGGAATTTCGATGGTTAAAAAGTGACGAGGATTTCGTGCTCTTCATCGCTTCTTAAGGGAATTACAAGATCATTTTTTTCAATAATTATTTAATTTGTTTTAGCTATTCGGATACTTTTTTTATAATTTTATTTCTTGGTTCGGACATGAAAAGTTAAATTCTGTTAGAAAGATATATTATTCAAAAGATTATTTTAATAAGATTTATAGACATTATGAAAATCTGATATTTTTATAATGTATTATTAAAAGGAAAACATTTAGTAAAATGGCTTATTAAATTATGATCTGTTTTAAATAGTGTCATGCAAAATATTTTCTTTAAGAATTTAAATATTAAATAAAAATATATTTTAAAAAAATCTACTTATTTATTATATAATTATTTTATAGATTTAATTGGATTTTTAACAAACAAAAAATTAATTTACCAATTTTATTTTTTTGTTTTTTTTATTGGAAAAAAAATATTTATAAATGTTTATTTTTATCTTTTTCTTATCACATTTTAATCTCATCAGAAGTTTTTTTTATTGGTATTTATTTTATATTTCTCTTAATGCTGCTTCACTGTCTGACAGATAACAGTAAAAATAAACTAATTCTATTTTTAATGATGTATTGTTTATAATATAATTATATGTAAATAATTATGTATAAAAATCTTAATTATTACTTATTTATAAATTAAATATAATTATAACAACAACAATCGATTAATACAATTATAATAATAATTATAATCAATTATAATTTTTTGTAAAAACCCTTTATTAAAA